ATTATATGAAAATACAGTTCCTTTTGTCTCCTGAAGTTCTCTTGCACATACAATCGTTGTAGTATTTGCCACTTGTGAAAATTCCAATCCTAATTCTCAAAATACAATCTTTTTGGCTCATTATTAGGCTAATACTATCGAAAGCCAACCTCGTCAATCATTTCTAATTGGAGTGTTAATGAGAAGTTTTATCTACGCTTGATGAATTTCGCGCACTTATGACATCATTGCATGTTACGCAACTCAAGGAAGGCTAATGTGATGTTATCACGAATTAATGTGAGGGCTATTCTCCAACAAATAACTGACAAAATTTTTTTAAAAAATTTGGTGAACGGTGCGTGACCAATACCGCGCATTATGTTAATTTATCAAGGAAGCCTAGGAACATGTCTGTTCCTTTGGGTTTTTACGTAAGGATGATGTATCATCCTTGACAGCGGAATATGACATGAGCTAGTTGCTACGTTCTTCTTTCATTTTAAACGCCCTCTGTTCCAAAGGCTTGAAAGTTGTGGACGTTTCAGACTTTTAGCAGCTACGCGTTACTATTCAAGTTTGTGCTGCATACAACACCCTGAATTAACATTAAGGGAACAGATTATGCATTTTCATGGTGCTGGGAGCGCATTCGTGCGAACGGATCGTTTTTCGAAATTTTGATTGTTAAACTGCGTTTTTCATCCTCTTAACACTCTTCATACCTAGAATCGTAGAAACTCTGACAAATAGCAGGGAACTGCGCATCGTAACGGGTGCAGATCCACAGCCTTAGCACGAGAAACGTAGGGTTCGACTGCCATGTGTTACTTTATCTGCTGGCTATCATATAATGAAAGATATTTCCAAGTATTATGTTGAAATCAGTTGCAATTTGCAACTTTTTGGATAGCAACAACGTTTTTGGAACAATTGGAAAGTTTTAGGCAAGCCGTATTTTGTGTGGAGGTTGTGATTGTGGGTTTGCTTCCATTATGCCACAGTTTTTGTTGAACACTTCACTGTAGTTAGTAAACTAAGTTATCTCACCAGGAGAAGATATGTTTCAATGTATTGATATCTCGTCGTCAACATGCATAGCTCAATGAGTTCTACAGCTAGCTGACACTACGCTCGGCACTATTCTGTTGCTCCATCGGGATCTGTTGCATGCGAACAAAGCTTAATAAGAGCTCGGCTATACTACCCTAGTCGCTTTTTCCAGCAATGCCTCCCGTTTCATGCGTGCTTCAAATATTTATGGAATTTTTTGTTGTTAGCTAACAGCGAAAAATCGGAACATATTTGAAACATGGACCAAAGGGGTGGAAGTGGTGGAAAATCCGACTAACGGCGTAGCATGGCTGGACCCTAAGATCATTGAATTTCTGCTCACTATTCTCAAGATTTCACAAATTGTTTTAATCTGGTGTGTTGTGAATGTGATGTTTCTAGTGGCACCAACATCACCAACAAAACGTAGTAGTAGTTTACCACGAGGAGGAGGCGTAGGAGAAGCGAGGAAGATCGAGCCACCACCGATGTATCGAACTGAGCCACCGCGAGTGCCTCCTCAACCGCAAATGGGTGCTGCAAGTAGATTAGGTAAGATGCATGTTCTATCATTAAACGAAAACAATTGGGCTTCGATTATTTTTGATCTTGGAAAATCTGATTAATTTTGAATTTGGACTTTTTTATAACTAATTTTTTAAAAAACTTTGCACTTTTGTGCTTTTGGCTTAATTTTCCATCAGTAGCGTCTGCTTTTGCAAGTTCATTGTTTGTTGCAAATCAGCAAATTAAGGGCTTAGTGACTTGATCAAGGCTATGTTCAAACATAAGTTTCTCTTCAAGTTTTATCAACCTTCCTCACTCGCAATTTCATATGTTTTAGATGATATCGAACGAGATAATCATTGCCGTGCAGTCTCTGAGCAATCCTCGGTCCTACTAGCTATATTTTGAAAAATTTTATATAGATATGATTTGCTCTTGTCAGACCTCGCCGGCAGGTCTCCGAAAGGCAAGCTGGAATTCGTTTTTGTGGAAAAGGCAAAGGGGAAATCTATGGGGCCCGGAGAAGAGCGGAGTTCAATCTCAATTAAGAACGCTTTTTCTACAACAAGAATGTTGAAGCTACCTCCTCTCCCTCTCCTTTCCTTCCTAGCGCGAATGTTCATGCATGCGGCCTAACTATTTCCGTCTTATTCAATACTTAATTCAGAGT